GGCTGTTGCAGAACCTCAACTCCAAACCATAGAGATCCTTGCTTCCAATCATGGTCTGGGAAAGGTTTAAAAAAGCCATGGTGGACATGGGTGCCATCCGGATTTTCGCTCTGCAGCGTTCGAAAAATGTGATTTTTCGAGCGTTGCGGAGCACCTGGGCTAGACTATGTTTAGGGGGCTTGAATGACAACGATAACTGTAACACCGTAACGCATGTATGAGGCCACATCGACTTAATTTTATGGATGACTTCCGCGCGCGCATTGATTTTCGCCTGTTTTAAAAAAAAAAAAGATCACGTCCTCCGAGGCTCTGGCCTGGCTCTAGGCCTGGGTAGTCCATGGTAATTAGCAACAGTACAAAGCCGGCGGTAACTCTGGAGGATCGCACCCAGGCTGCCGAAGCTCCACGATTCAAGAACTCAGTACATACGTACTGTGCCGATTCAATTCCGCAAAAAGCCAGCATGTGCCGGCTTGTCGTATACGTCGCTAAGTACTGCCGCAAACTCACAATACCAGCTTTGTATTCTTGTCGTTTAGTAGCATTTTTGTTTTTGACCGGATTTTTTTTATTCGCCCGCGCGCACTAGTTTGGGGGTCTTCAGAGGATGTCATCCATAAAATGAAGTCGGCGTGGCCTGATATATAGAACTGTGCTGTTACCGACCTCATTAGCGATGACGCTGAAGGTGTAGCAGTCGGCACTGGTGGTGTTGAACTCCACACATCCCGGGGTGTGAAAATAGCTGTTGGAACAGCCGTCACCGCCCCTGTGGAGGCACGGGTAGCCCATGCCCAGCTTTTCGCATGTCGCCCTCACGTTCGAGTTGGTCATCTCGCCGGACACGCGAACCTTGTTTTTAATATAAATCATTCTTTTATTGATATGATACGATATGAATCTTTATTGCATGTTCTTGCCCAGATGGGCTAAATGCACAAGAGGACATGCAGTATGCAAAAACATGAGTATTTCATACTGAAACGCTATATTCTAATGCAAAGTGATAAGGATCTAAATATTACAACAATACTATAAACTACCTATCATCTACTGTTAGTTGCCCTTTCTTCTCTCTTTTTGAAACATTTGGAAACATAATTACATAGTTTGTCTAGTGTACATTCGTTCTTGTATGACATCAAGTGTTTAAACATGTCCTGTTTTGACATTTTCTTGTTGTAAAGTATCGAATATCTCTTGGCGTTCATCTTTATATAATGTGCAGTCAAGTTTAATATAAATCATTCTTTTATTCGTCGGTGAAGGTTAGACACCCAGGTAATAAGATACGCCAAAAATAGTTACTCATACGACAAGCAACTGGATATGGTTTTGGAAACGGTCAGACGTTTCAGGTAGCATCCACTATCTTTTGTTTCCTTTTGGACTTCCAAAAAAATTTGTCTTCACTTTTTTTGCATATCAATCAATAATTGAGGTTTATTGAGGAGAAACTCTCCTTTAGCTGTCCACCCGAGGGTGGTAGCTATTCTTCCAGGAGAGAGTACATAAACATAACGATACACCAACATACAATTACATATACATAACATCAACATACAATTACATATCTATTACATAGCTATTCAAAGAAACAAATGTATAACATGGTATGTGCTTTATACTTCTTAATGTCCTTCATGCGCTTTAGTAGGCCTTGTTTGAACTTCTCATGAGATGACGCCGTTCGTGCTTATGAACCTGCATTTCTCCTCTGGTCTCTCAGTGTCACTGACGAAAGGCAGTGGATACTACCCGAAAGTCTGACCGTTTACAACATCATATCTAGTTGCTTAAGTAACTGCTTTTTTTCGATTCCTTTTATTATTTCTTCATAAAATGAACATAGAGAGCAAACATGAGCATGGGAGGCGGAACAGACTTAAGTAGAAAAAAAAGAATAACAAGAAAACCATGAATAAAACCCAAGTTAAGAAATATCATCTGTTGATTTTACCTACATCCCGGAAACATAAGAACAGAGAAGGTGGGGCCGTGTGGCGTAGTGGCAGAGTGCTCGACTCGGAACCAAGAGGTCCCGGGTTTGAATCCTGACATGCCACCGATCTTGTGCCCTTGGGAAAGGCACTTTACACAGCTTTCCTCACTTCGCTCAGGTGAAAATGAGTACTGTATTGTCCCGTGTTGGTTGTGGCATTAACATAAGTAGAAAATTTTAAAACTTGAGTGTGCCGTCACCACGTCTTGTGACTACATGTTGGAAAACAAACAACATAAGAACAGAGAAAGAAAACCACACGAACCTTGCGGAACACCAGGCCGCCAAGTGACGTCAGGTAGATCGACTCACCTGGGCGGAAAGGTACGACAACAAGCACTTTCTAGACATAGGCCGTGTTTAAGCGGAATCACCCAAGGCGGTTTACATGTGGTTTACCCCGAAGCCGGTTTCAAGTGGCTCCATGTGAACGCTCCGAAATCACATTGAAAGCGCCTCGATCCCAAGCCACTTCTAGAGGTGGTTTCGAATCGGTTTCCCCGCATCGCGATTTGCGTCTGAACGCAATGTGATTTCAATGTGACTTCGCCTGGTCATGGATTACGCGGTGATATTTCTGACATTAAGAACGCGCTAACTTGCGTGTTTTCATCAAACAACAATGATTTAAAAAAAAAAGAAATAACCTGCTACATACATTAAAAAGAAAGCATAAACCAGTTAGGCTTGATTCACAAATAATGTACCTCTTTGCAATGAATGACAGCGGGTCGGGTACGATTAATGGTCAATCGAAATCGCTCTCTTCGCTTCAAAGAAAACTGGCATACATGCAGATCCTCCTGCAGGTAAGGCCAGTGATGATAATTAAATAATTGTTTTATTGCAAATTCATGCCCGACGGGTAATTGCAGGAACAGAAGAAACATTTGGTATAAACACACACACACCAAACACACACACACACACACACACACACACACACACCAAAAAACCCCCAACAACAGACAGTTAGTACACATAGAACTACTGATAACGACTGAGAAACCACTTGCAAAACCAACTGGGTTTGACGCTTTTTTTCAAGACAGAGGAAGACAAAGGATCCTACTTTTTGTGTAATTTGTGGGTTTTCGGATGTTAAGAGGAGAGCAGTTTTCATTTGTATATGTGTGAAAGTTTGGGTAGAATTTGGAGGCTACGTCAAAGAATTCATTTCGTTCATTGCGCATAGAGGGTACAATTTGAGACAAAATGCGTTTCGTCTTCCACCGTTTTCAGCGTACGATGTCTGCAAATTCGTCCCTATTATAGAGATTCTTTATTGACACAACAAAAAAGTACAGAGACTTTTGTATGGTCTTCTACAACTTAACTAAAGATCTAACAAAGCTAAATACATGTGCGGATAAAGTCATCTTACGTACAGAGTATATGTATGATGTAACAATAAAGGTTAACTATTCTCTAACATGTGTTCTCTAAGATCAAAACATTCTTTAATGTATTTTCCTATTTGAACACTGTATTGGTTATCTCCCCTTAGAATGTAGTTGCATTTATCTATAGGATCTAATATATTGAAATCAATTGAACAAGCGGAAAGAAAGGTGAACAGCAATCGGCGCTTATCATTGTATAGTGTACAATCCATTATAAAATGGTGCTCATTTTCGATCAAGTTTGGACAAAATGGACAGAACCTTTGGTCATTTGGTATTTTCTTGTATCGACCTATTTCTATGTTTAATTTATGACAACTAATTCTTAGTTTTGTGATCGCTTTTCGGATATCTAGATTGTGTATACTTGAGAGGTATTGTTTTTGTCCATAGTTTTCCTTTAATGCGGTATAAACAGAAAGTTTTGCGTTGTTACTAATAGAATTATACCATTTTTGTATATATATATCTTGAAGGCGGGATCGTATAGGTCACATTTCCAAGCCGGGGCCCGGCCGGGCTGTTTCAATTAACGACAAATCAACAATTTCCATCTAGTACATACGTAGATAGTTCCATAATATGGAATTTTAAAAACTTATTTGTGCTTTTTCTGTATTTTAGCCCATTTTTTTTTGTTCCGTTATACTGCCCGGCCGGGCCCCGGTTTGGAAATCATCATCATCATCATCATCATTCATCCTCTGTAGTAGAGGTGGAGCATACAAAGTTAGCTCGCCACAACTGTCTGTCATACATCACAGACATCAGTTCATGTCCCTCCAAGCCAGTTTCAGTTTCAATAAGTTTCTTAAGTGTTATGTTTGGGCGCCCAACTCTTCTCGTACCGGTATCAGGATTCCAGAGTAGAAGCCTACTGGCTGGTTCTTCACTACGTACTACATGACCGGCCAAGCTTAGTCGTCGACATTTGACTACTGAAGTTACATTTGGTAGCGACCCGTATAACTGTTCATTAGTAGTGTATTTCCACCATGGTGTATTGAAAATCACTCGCAACATCTTCGTGTATGTTCCGTTTATGTTCGGTTTGTAAATGTGACTTAAGCATTACTCACCCTGGGACGGCGAGACGCTCAGAGTGAAGAAGACGCAGCTAAGAAGTAGGAGAGCCACTGACATGTTGGACTCACTGCTGCCGAGGGGGAGACTGACGCTGTCCACCGGCTGTTTCATCCATATTCACCCAGCATATTCATGTTTAGGCCACAGCAAGTAAATTTTATGGATGACATCCTCCGCAGACTCCAAATCTAATGCGAGCGGGCGAAGAAAAACAAGGCGGGTCGAAAAAAAGAAGGTTCTTACATTTTAAAATTTTGACTTAATCATTGCACAAATGGTTTTTATTCAGTGGGAACATCACATATACACAGCCAGCATCACATATCCACTGCATCAAAGTAAGAAACAAAACATTAAATCAGAACCTTTTGTCCCCTCTCTTTATAGTTATCTGCCATCCACCTTCCGGCATGGCAACAGACATCTTTGCCCATTTTCGGCATGTTGACCACTGACAGAAGGCAACAGAATTTCTTTTTTTTTTCAAAATCAGGCGAAAACTTAATGCGCGAGCTGATGTCATCCATAAAAATTACTTGCTGTGGCCTTACTTGTCACAAAGAACTCGCAGAGGGATGCCAACGCTGGAAGGTTAATACGACAAAGGCGCTCTGTGTGTACGGTGGCCTTATCCCCTTGGTGACGCACCGTGCACACAAGCATCTCCTAGCTATAGGAGGGCCTGCAAGCCCTTTTTCGTAAGGCGTAATCAGGCCGTTTTATACTTCGTAATTCGTAGGCAGCCTCCGCAAAAATCATATCCGTAATAGGACATTAGCCGCAAATCGTAATCAGCTCTAAGACTTTAACGTAATTCGTAATAGGCGGCGAAAATTTTGCGTACTCGTAATCACTATCCCCCCTTGCAGGCCCTCCTATAGATGGCCATGGTTTGTTTTTTGTGGCGAAGGGGAAGGGGGGAGGATGGTCTTTTCGCGTGGGACGGCTCATCATCATATCTTGTCGGCCCACTGCTCCAGCCAGTCCAGGGCTTCCTGGTTTGCATCGTGCAGGTCTCGTTTGGTGACAGATGGTCCAAATTCTCAGTCCTGTAGGATGTGTGTGCACCTTGTGATAAGCCCTGCCTACTGAACGCGTCCACATCTCCACCATATGTTAGGGCACGGTCACATTTCCAAGCCGGGGTCCGGCCGGGTTGCTTGCGTGAACGAAAAATAAACAATTCGTATTAAGAGCATACACAAATAGTGCTCATGGTTAATTTTCTAAAACTTTTTTTGTGTTTTGCTGTCTTATATCATAATTTTCGTTCCAAATGACTGCCCGGCCGGGCCCCGGGTTGGGAAATGTGACCGCGCCTTTAGTTAGGCTGATGTCAGTCCCGTACATACAGTCCGCGTGGCTTCGTCTCTGTTTGCGGTGTCCTACATCCTTGGGAACCGGCAGCTGACCCTAGGGACAAGCGCTATTTATATATATTGCCACGGGAGTCTTAATCTAATCTGTCAATATAGACTAGGTTTTTCTGACCCATTTTTAATTGGGGTATAACTATATAAAAAGGAAAACTAGAGAGACCCTAAAAAACTAAATCGACCTGCAGGTCGCACAAAGTAAGAGAAGGGCTTGTGTCCCTGTATGCACGCAAACACGTCGGGTGAATGTGAAGTATACATGTATTTTGATGGGCCATGTCCATTTGATTATATGGATGACATCCGCGCGCGCATGAATCTTCGGCCGTTTCCAAAAAAAAAAAGTTTTCAACCATACTGTAAATCGTACAAAACAGTTGCAAAATGAGCACAAATATACCGTAAGTTACAAAAAAATTACTAAAAACTATACCAATGTCGCAGAATGCCAAAATCAAACGAAAAAAGACGAAATTGTAAAGAAATGAACTTGAAGACTACATTATTCGCCAAACCATATTCTGTGCCATTTGCTCAACCCTTATGACCACGTAGATTTCATAATGAAAACAACTTTTTTTTTTGCAAAACTTTTTTTTTATTCGCACGCATCAGTTTTGGGGCTCCCGGAGGATGTCATCCATTAATCAAATCAACATGGCCATATTTAGAAAAAATATCGAAGTTTATGCGAGGACTAGTTGAGATTAGGAAACCCAATTAAAGTGTCCCTGACTAAAGCCAACCTAGGGACCAAACGTAATATATAAAATCAGACGTTCTTCTTATGATTTATGATATGCTAACAATAAGGTAACACTAGTCTAGTATGTGAATTCATTGACCTCATTCCAAGGTGTATACAGAGGCCTTGTATAAGCTTGAGTTAACCGCCAGCTAAAGACCTCCGCTTCTATAAAGAGCTTGGTAAAGAGGGCCTGAATTTAGTGATTACGAATTACGCAAAATTTCCGCCGCCAATTACAAATTACGATAAAGTCTCAGAACTGATTACGACTTAACGATTTGCAGCTAATGTTCTATTACGAATTACGTTGATTTTTGCGGAGGCTGCCTACGGATTACGAAGAATAAAAATGCCTGATTACGCCCTACGAAAAAGGGCATGCAGCCCCCTATAAACACACTGCTCATTATCTGGCGTGCCTAGCCCCAAAGTCCGTAGAGCGAGCTGGAGGTATCTTGTAATGAAAAAGTGTGTAGTGTTTGCGGACAAGCCGACGTTGGCAAGACTGTTCACGTACCTTCTGACCTATACCTGCGCCCAGTGACAATCACTGTTCTGTATGATTTGATTTGATTTATTACACTGTATCATTATATACATAGAGAGCAAGGACTGCCCAACTAGCCGGAGGCAATTACAAAAGGGCTAGCCCTCACAACAAGAACATAAACAGTTAACAGGTAACAGTTAACAGTGTCAGTTACACTTCAGATAAACATACTATTACATAACAGATGTTACGGTCTAACGTTAACAAGCTATGCAATCTGGCCTAGTCGCCATGCGTTTACTGTAGATACATTGTGTACTATATCTACATTGTAAGGTTAACGTACTATTACATAACAGATGCTGCGGCCTAACGTTATGTGTTAGCGTTCAGTGGTTATTCCCCAGACGTATCCCCCACAAAAAGTGCACAGAAGACGATTCACGGAAATTAAGGAGTCTCAACTATTTTAAGAAACAAAGAGGTGCATAAGTACGTGGTTTACTGATTGATAAACACGACAACATGAAATTTTCAAAAACTTTGCACACACACACACACACACACACACACACACACACACACACACACACACACACACACACACACACACACACACACACACACACACACACACAATGTGTGTTGTTTGTGTTACGTAACATTTGCAATGTTGGCGTCCTGTCCCAAAATATTACAAAGAACTCCCATCTCCACAAGAATTCACCATTGCCTAGGGTGACCCGCCTACATCGCGCTACTTTTAATTTCTTACGTAACCAGCGTCTGTGCGTGTGTGGCTTGCCAGCCTTCTCGCTCCAGTACTCCCACGCCAGAGGGACCAAAAATACACCACGAGTGCGAAGCCAATGTTGGCTAAACTCCTACTTGGACTGTAAATTTGAACTGTTATTCAAGAGCAGCCTTTCCTGTAATGACTCCAATAGTGCGTTTTTTAATTGTGCTGATCTCCAAGCACCACGTTATATCTGTAATATTGTTAACCACGTCGACAATATTGAACTTTGTATATACATGTACTGTAATATATACTTTTTTATTGGTTTTACTGAATTTCATGAGTGTCAACTTCGGCGCAAATCAGCTATTGCTGCAAGGTCGATTTGTTCCTTGTGTATCAATAAACCATTTAATACTTCTCTCCACTGCTGTCCCTGAAAATAGGTACGAAGCAACCGAACCCTTACATCGGGATGTGTGTTTGCAGAGTTCGCGACACCTGCCCGTGTTGTCAAGGATGTGTTACTGCGGCCCGCACCAAACAGCGGATCAGAGTGACTTGTGGGCAAAGCATTACATAAACGACCGCACACGGTAGACACCTTACATAGGCTAAGGTGTCTCGGCTCCACAACGCCACCGACGGTAAAGATGTGGAGTCTCCTGTTCTTGATCTTTGCTGTGGCCGCCTGTCCGGTCCAATCGCAAGGTAGGGGCACAACTTCACTTTACAAAATCATTGGATAAAAAACAACGTAGAGGGGGTAAAAGCAATATAACGGGGTACAAAAAAAAAACAAAAAAAAAACAAAGGCACTATGAGCTATATGTTTTTTTCTCCAGCCGGGACATTTATAGTCTACGACTACTTCAAAGTACAAGCTTATGGGCAGATGTCGAGCGAGAACTTAAAGCTTACCTGTGAACGAGCTGATTACGTCACACCGTGTCCCGGGAACGAGAGCTGCCCGTCTTCGACAGACGGCTGTGTCCCGACCGGGCTTACTGCATGCGGCGCTCCCATGCTCGAATTAGCCCAATTTCTGTGCGGTGGCATGCCTAACGAATGCCCTGCGCTGGACGGGGTGTACTGCTTCTATGGCCCTGGTGCTGCCTGTGGTGTGGAGGGTGACAGCTGGTGCGCAGCCGGCTATGACCGCTACGCCCTCTGCGCCCGCGGTGAGCACTACTCTCCAAGCAGAGGGTGTGGGGGAATGAATGATCGTTAGCTTTTTATATATGGCCGTTTTTTTGGCTCTACCGTCGGTGGCCGACGACCTTCTCTGCCTAATGGATACTGTCTTGCAACCGAAAGGGATCTGCTTGGAGATTAGTGCTTCATCATTTAAGAGCATGATGGTCAGTGTAGAAATATAAAGCCAGGTGTACAACATGTAAATATACAAACAATGATACTGTTATAGCAGGGCATTCAAACTGTAGATCACATTAACCTCAACTCTTATCGAGTTGTACGTCTAATTCAGGACAACATGGTATTTTGCCGTATATATTTGTTATGCACGGTTTCAGATATCGATGACTGCAGCAGCGCCCCCTGTCAGAATGGAGCAGTATGTCAGGACGGAGTGAACAGCTTCACTTGTCAGTGTGTGCCTGGGTATACTGGAACTCTCTGTGAAACGGGTAGGTTTGAAAATAAAAATCATGAAAATCATAAAAGATGACTATAAGCTTTGGCTGTCATGCTAATCAGTGCTAATTTGTACATACGGTACAAATGCAGGAAAAGGAATCATACATTAAAATCATTCATCATACTTTCATTGTACAACATTCTTACCCCTAAAGCCACGCTTGCCGACTCTGTTCCACAGATATTGACGAGTGTGCGAGCAGTCCGTGTTTAGGAGGCGGAACTTGCGTGGATCACGTGAACGGCTACAGCTGTTTCTGTCCTAAAGGTCACGTGGGAGACAAGTGTGAAACGGGTGAGTTTCAGAAACTGATCATTGACATTTGGAAAATGATGCAACATGTCCTGTAATAGAGTGGAACAGACTGATCTTGCTTCTAAGGCTGGTAGCCATCTTTTTCTATAATGCTGAGGTCACAATTCAAACACGGGGCCAGGCCGGGCAGCTTTTGGGAACGAAAAAAGTACGATATAAAAAAAAAAAAACACAAGAAAAGTTTTTAATAATAATCATGCGCACTGTTTCTGTATATTCTTGATATAAATTGGTAATTTTTCGTTCATACATACAGCCCGGCCGGGCCCCGGTTCGGAAATGTGACCTAAGCCTAAGCTGAGGTCCACACACAACGAAATTCTTTTAACCTGTAGTTTTTTGACATGTACAATCATGAACTGTACAGACAGTACAGGCAACATGGAAGGTATAGAGTTGTTGCCTTCTCAAAATATGACTATTGGTGGTCTTTAAGTACCCGATACCACTTTTGGGAAACACTGATAGAAATAGTGCCCAAGATGGCAGAACTAATGTCAGTAAAATTAATGACCTGAGATGAAATTCTTCTTCTTCCTTTTAATGCCCACGATCATCATACTGATCATTCTGGCAATGCCAATTCTTGGCAAGACTCCGGATTAATTAATTGTAGAATTTGTACCATCGCACACCGGGGCATGCCCCTACTCTTTTTCGAAAGGTGTGGTGGGATCTTTAACGTGCTCGAGGTGCGGCTTTCCTCAAACACGGGACCTCCAGTTTACATCCTATCCGAGGGACGTCCCTAGCCGAAGCTTCACTTCACTCATCTACACCTGAGTGAAGTGAGGAAAGTCGTGTATAGTGCCTTTCCCAAGGGCACAAGATCGGTGACATGGGTGGGGATCGAACCCAGGACCTCTAGGTCCTGAGCCGAAAGCGCTACCGCTGCGCCACACGACCCCAAATTGGTGCGGCACTTAACATTATGATGATAACGACGACGATGATGATGAAGATGATGTTTAAGACGATGATGATTTGCAACGTTTCCCCAGTTCCGTACACTGGCGGCTGTCTGCTGTTCTCCTCCGATGCCGTGTCCTATCCCGAAGCGAGCCAGGAGTGCCAGACCAGGGGAGGGCACCTGGTGGATGTGAAGGAGGCCGAGCTGCAGCGGCTCATCGCTGACTCCATCCCTGCCGGAAGTGACGTGTCGCCGTGGATCGGACTGAAGATGTCCATGACCTACACAGACGGGACCAGTGCATCAGGTTCTGTGCCCTTCCCTCCCTTTAAATTCCATCTTATCAAATAATAGCTATCCTTTAGGCTCTTACCTGGATATCACTCAGGCGGAACTTCCCTCGCTAGTGCCCTCCTTCGAATATTCTCAGCAAGGACACGTCTTGCCACTTCCACTGATTTAGAAGTAAATCTTCTGATAATTCTATACAATATTTAGTTCTTCGCGGTAGTTTCCTCTGTTCGTATGATACCAACTGTAAAATAATGTTAGTCGCTCAAAATTACATATTAGAAACAAAAAGATTCTAACTGTATGTGTCTTCTGGGATGGGAGGTTTGTTACTTACGCGAGGTCTCATGTATTTTTTAATGTCTTGTAAAATATTTTTCTTTCATTGTGAAAGTGGCTGCGAGAATATAAGTTGTAACTAACTTGAGTTCGCAGCCACTTAGTCCATGTCTTTTCATTTGTAATCATCATTTTGTTTCTGAATAAAAAAAAAGAAGCAAATCACCCTTTCTTCCTCAATACACCACTTCTTAGGAGGAAGTTCCACGCTGAAAGCTTCTTTCCTAAAACAACATCGCTATGGAACAAGCTACCTCGTGATTGTTTCTCAAATGGGTATAACATTTAACTTTTAAAGCCTGAGGTCAAAGAATATCTGTCCTCACTCGCTGTACAGTAACCCAAAACATTTGAGTGGCTCCCATGAGCCTTGTTTTGTGGTGAACATGTAAGTTGTTAGTAAATACAAAAAATGTTTGGATGGTGTTTTTTTAGGTCCCTCATGAATGTATGTGATATCGTTTTGTTCTTCTATCTCTACTTTACTCATTTGTTGGGAAAACTTACACTGCAAAGTCTAGTGATGGCAAAATCATGTAAGAATCTGTGACTATGCTAGGCCAGCTGCAATGGTCCACTAGTTAGCATCTCCACATGTGATATCGTTTCGTTTTTATTTCTAATTTACATATCTGTTGGGAAAAACAACTTATACTACAAAATCTAGTGATGCCCAAATCATGTAAGAATTTGTATCTATGCTAGGCCAGCTGCAATGGTCCGCTGGTGAACCCGACAACTGTGACTTGTGTGGCTTCCTGGACAACACGGACGACTTTCGCGCCAAAACCGCCTCGTGTATGGAACAGCACCACTACGTGTGCCAGTCGGGTGGGTGAATTTCTCATATGTTTTTGGCAAATGCGCATGCATGCCTAAACTAATTACAAGTGTGCTCCCACCACCACCTGTGAGCTGTGTGCCTACCTGGACAGCACGGACGACTATCGCGCCAAAACCGCCTCGTGCATGGAACAGCACCACTACATCTGCCAGTCTGGTACGTTATATAGTACCTTCCTAACCATGGAAGGGGGGGGGAGGGGTGATTCTTCAAATTTACACACATAAACAACTTGATACTAGTAGCAAAATACACGATTTGCCGCCGTAAGTATGGAGCAAAGTCCACATGAAATATTTGAATGCTTTTTGATTGTGACTTATCGTTAAGGTCACTTTTATAACTTAAAATAGTTTTAATTACTATTATGTATTATTATTATGATGTGAGATTATTATGATGGTTAACGCTGATTATAATATAACTGACAATATTATGATGAAGATGATGATGGTGATACGTTGGCTATGACTGTATGAGGCAACCATTTATATTTGACAGGAGATAATTTCATTATGCTAATGTAGAAATTGCCAACATTTTAAGTACGCGGTGAAGAGAGACAAGTTTACAGTAAATTTATCAGGAATGAACAATTCAATTGTAAGAAGACGTAGTTCAAAACCAGTACTTCATCAAACTTGTATACCAAGTACATCCATCGTTTTGGTGCTTACAAGTTCATTTCAACTTACTGCAATGACAGTCTTAATATGACTGGTGGCTTTTAATCTGTATTCATGTCTCCTTAGATCCAAGTCCCTGTGAGCGAAACATCTGCTACAACAACGGCGTCTGTTCGACCTGCTTTAACGACTCCTACAGCGCCTGTTCCTGTCTGCCTGGATACGCGGGGGACAAATGCGAAATCGGTATTCATAATATATTTTCCGTTTAAATGCAAGCTTCTTTTCATTAAGTGCTATATGACAGCAGATGATAGAGATAAATCTTACTCTTAATCATTAACGACAATTTCTTCGCCATGCGAATTCATGTGATGTAAGTGTATTGGAAATACATGTCGAAAAATGAGTATCGTCTTCCAGAGGATCAGCATTTATCGCCCTTTCTTGATGGGCAAAAGGGTGGGCTGAATGGTAATCTTATGAAGCGCACTTGAATGGTACATAAACTTAAACTTTTATTACTCTGTGAAGAACGGAGTGTTGACGAAGCCTCAACATTTGTGTGTTCGCAGCTGTAACTCGCGATTCCTTTGCTGCATGGGGACTTAGCTTGGTGCGTTGTCTGCTAGTATGGTCTAGTTGATGCACGTTTTTTTATATACCGCAGCAAATTTTATACATTCTCTAATACTCTAGCGAACTCGCCTATTCTGATGGAATTTTGAAACAGGTCATGTATTCCGTCGTTTCTTAACTAGATGTTCCGATAGGAGCCACAAACACAATTTTAGATGACATTAAAATTGGTAAGGTATCAAAAACACCGTGCATCAACTATAGACCATACTAGCAGACAACAAACCAAACTACGGACTCTTGTTTTCTTTCCATCTACCCTTGTTTTCGTCAGTTGCGAGGGAGCATTGCCCTACTGCTTACTTTCATCATTGGATCGGGGTGGAGTGAAATATATTGCGTTTGCTCGCAACTGTGGTCTCTCTAGTTTGATGTTGTGTTTTGTGATCAGATCTGGTGAGAGCAAAGAATTTGTTTAGCACTGGCGATTTGTATTGTTTGCATCTACAGATGTGGATGAATGTGCGGATGACTCAAACAACTGCGACTTTCATGCAACCTGTACCAACACTGACGGCAGTTTCACCTGTACCTGTAACAACGGTTACACCGGGGACGGAGTCACCTGTACTGGTAAGAACATAGAGTTTGGATGCACATCAGTAAAAAACTATTACAATGCACACATAACTCCCATTGAGTGCCTTTTAATAACACAAAGTCCCATTTGTCCACAAAGTCCACTACTGAACTTTATGTTTTGAACATGAGCCGACTAGGACGTTGGGTATTGGATAATGATTTTGTTTTCGACGCATAGATATGTTTTTATGTTTACTGTATGTTGTTATTTGTTTTACTGTATGTAAAAGTGCCCTGTAACAAGCTGGACGTGGAAAACAGTCATGTTAGGCTGAATGGGGTTACCCAGCCGTCTTGAGGTTAATATATAAATAAATTTGTTTGTTTAGTGCTGTAAGTTTGAATTGTTTGTATCCACAGATGTCGATGAATGTACAGATGGCTCAAACAACTGCAACCTGCATGCCACCTGTACTAACTCAGACGGTGGGTTCACCTGTAAGTGTAACCACGGGTACAACGGAGACGGAGTCACCTGCACACGTATGGAATAACCCTCTTCTTTGTACATGTGTAAAAAAAAAACCCACTCTTCCTTTTGCTTATTATATTACATAATGAAACGGGTAGCAAAACCATCCTGGGTCGACATAGACCCACCAAACATACTGACATTGTCATTTTTTAGTGCTTCTTTCTTTTTAGTGCTTCTTACTCATACAAAAAATGTGTTGCTGGCAAAAGTAGAATGTGCATATCTATGGAGTACCCAAGAAGGAATCTACTTTATAATTTTATGAAAACGTTTGTCTGAACTGATTTCGAAATGGAAAGACAGGGATAGTTTTGTTAGTTCAGCACCAAGGGCAGGGATGGTTTTGTTAGTTCAGCACCAAGGACAGGGATAGTTTTGTTAGTTCAGCACCAAGGGCAGGGATGGTTTTGTTAGTTCAGCACCAAGGACAGGGATAGTTTTGTTAGTTCAGCACCAAGGACACGGATAGCTTTGTTAGTTTAGCACCAAGGACAGGGATAGTTTTGTTAGTTCAGCACCATGGACAGGGATAGTTTTGATAGGTCAGCACCAAGGACAGGGATAGTTTTGTTAGTTCAGCACCAAGGGCAGGGATAGTTTTGTTAGTTCATCACCAAGAACAGGGATGGTTTTGTTAGTTCAGCACCAAGGACAGGGATAGTTTTGTTAGTTCAGCACCAAGAACATGGATAGTTTTGTTAGTTCAGCACCAAGGGAAGGGTTAGTTCTGTTAGTTCAGCACCAAGGACAGGGAAATGTTTGTTAGTTCAGCACCAAAGGCAGGAATTGTGGAATCTGTTCTCAGTTCTCCGTAACTGCTTTTGTTTTATAACTGACCACAATTATGAAAATATCCAACTCCCGTACGTGTGGGACCGCACTGTGGATACATTTCCCTGTAATCACGCCTATGTGTAGACATGTAAATATTGTACCTTTGACAGCGACACATATGCTGTACTGCAATGTGCACCAGTCAGAATTGCCCTACAACGAAACAACGGCTGAACAAATGTCTTGGTTTTTGTGTAAAAAGAATATCTTTACTCAAGGACAGGAATAGTGCTGTTAAATACATAATCTTGATACTTGATACTTTATTATGATATTCATTAGTCGCACAAATTTTTGTACGACTAATCTTCCTGGATTCCAACAACACAACACAAGACGAAACAATACACAGACCTCACAATCATATAAAAATGACATTGGGCATCTACGCCACTAGACTTCTACACAATTTTCATTCTACGCATGCTTTATATAACATAATCTTGTCAATGATTGTTTCATCTCCTTAGTTATCCCCAGGAGAGTGGGTTTCTGGCCGTTGGATGCAGAGCATCTCTCCAACGACACCAGCGGAGGAGGGAACCACGGCCGGCCTGTAGGGACAACTCTGACGGAAGGACCTCACGGTGTACGGGAGTCCGCCTTCTTCTTCGCCGGAAACACTCAGTCCTACATAGGTCAGTAGGTGCTCCTTCCTCGGCCATTTTGTTTGATTTAATGAAATTGCAACAGTGCAATACACGCGGAACAGAGACAGCTGTTGCCGGTGTTGTGTCCCTCACATAGAAACAAATACTGGACAGACAATACTCATTTTCACTTGAGTCTAGTAGGGAAAGTGCCTTTCCCAAGGGCACAACATCGTGGCATGCCATGTCATGTCAGGACTCGAACCCGGGACCTCTTGATTCCGAGTCGTGCACGCTGCGGTTGCACGGGAATCCGCCTTCTTCTTTGCCGGAAACACTCAGTCCTACATAGGTCAGTAGGTGCTCCCTCTTCGGCCATGTTGTTATGTTTACCGAAGGAAAACGTCTTGTTTTTGCTCCGTTTCTTCCTCTTCTTCTTCTCCAAACAGTGACCTATGACCTGACCAATGACATGATTTGTTGACGGCTGTCACCTTGGAGACTGGTGTTGGGTTACATAATGTTGCAATTTCATGGTCTGCTTTGCTCCTGTAACCATATACTAGTAATACGATGTATTTGAATGTGTTTGAGTAATAATTAACAGAGCAGACCACGATAGTATAACTTTTAATTCACATTTCTATCACAGACATCCCCAACAATGGAGAACTGGATGTGAAAAGATCCTTCACCATTCTGCTGTACGCCTACCACATCGGGGGTCATTCAATCCTGGACTATAGAATGCATGGCAGCCCAGGGACACTTTTCTGGCTCTTCCCTGACAAACAACTTTATGTGGAGTATGTATTATGCAATTCAATTCAATTCAATTTAATTTATTTATCTAACAAGTAATTACAGCTTAGGCCATTTTGGCCTGCTTTTTTCAGGTAATCCTGGATACACATAGAAATACACACAACAAATACACAGTACATAAACAAATTACTAAATACAACATCCTAAACACCAACTGGATTAAGTCCTGCTCCTAATGATCTGTTTAAAAGTCCTGAGATTAAGGATATGTCGTTGCTGTAGCGGAAGAGTGTTCCACAGGTAATATAAATATAAATATAAATATAAATATAAATATAAATATAAATATAAATATAAATATAAATATAAATATAAATATAAATATAAATATAAATATAAATATAAATATAAATATAAATATAAATATAAATATAAATATAAATATAAATATAAATATAAATATAAATATAAATATAAATATAAATATAAATATAGCAATGTGTGAGCTGTTGTACATGTATATTTCTACAAGCGTTCTTGTTGCCAGTATCCAGGCACCGAACCCCCACACGTATTACTCACCAATGTCGATGCCTCAAGGGCAGTGGATGTTTCTCGGGGTTACCTACGACTACGCCTCAGGGCATGTCCAGCTGTGGAAGGATCTATCTCTATCTATCTATCTCTATCTATCTATCTATCTATCTATCTATCTATCTATCTATCTATCTATCTATCTATCTATCTATCTATCTATCTATCTATCTATCTATCTTTCTATCTCTATCTATCTATCTATCTATCTATCTATCTATCTATCTATCTATCTATCTATCTATCTATCCACCTACCTCTATATATATAGCTATAGATAGATAAAAATATATATATATATATGCACCATATTGTTGTACATGTATATTTCTACAAAGTTAACGTTCTTGTTGTCAGTATCCAGGCACCGAACCCCCACTCGTATTACTCACCAATGTCGATGCCTCAGCAACAATGGATGTTTCTCGGGGTTACTTACGACTACGCGTCGGGACATGTCCAGCTGTGGAAGGATGGTGCCAGTGTCGGCAGCAGGAACTTTGGTCAGTTGGGCCACAGCACAGCGAACCCCATCAGGCTTGGCTGCAGCGCTGCTCACCCACTCCCCTTCCATGGTAAACACAGTTTTATATATTGAAGTTTTTATGTTTACCGAAGGAAAACATCTTGTTTTTGCTCCATTTCTTCTTCCTCTTCTTCTGTTCCAAACATTAACCTCTGACCTGGCCAATGTCCTCTTTTGTTGACGTCTGTCACCATAGTAACTGGTGGTGGGTTAGATACAATGTTGCTTATGCTTATGCAACATGCTTATATTCACGTCACCACTAGACATTACATCAAATGATATAAAAAATTACATAACTAAACATGGGTATCGTCCAGGTAACAAGAGAACAGAGTTTAGCTATTAAGATATTATAACCTGCCTGCCTACCTGCCTAAATGCTTAGGCCAGGACTGGCCCCTTGCTCCTCTTCATTTTTTCCCGCCAGGCATCACGGTCCTTAGCCTTTTGTTCAGCGTACTTGAGGGACCACCCCGTATCCTGTACTATCTGGTCCCGCCATCTTTTAGGGGGTCTACCTCTAGGTCTGGGGTTTATGAAATCCTGATGGTAGGCCCCATACACCAAAGAGTCTGGGGGTCTCCTCTGAACGTGACCAAACCACCTCAGCCTTCTTTTACGAATATCGTCGATTATGGTATTTTTCATTCCCAGCATGGCTCGGATTTCCTCATTTCTGATGTGGTCTCTCCATGAGACATTCAGGATAGCCCGCAGGCATCTCATTTCAAAAGCCAATAGGAGTTGTTCATCACTTTTTTTCAATGTCCATGTCTCACAAGCATAAGTTGCTATTGGGAAAATGAGGGCATGTAACAGACGGGTTTTGAGGTGCCTACTGACATCAGACCTGTTCCAAACTGTTTTCCTGAGTCTGCCAAAGGCAGAAGCAGCAAGGGCAACTCGCCTCTTGACATCGCTTGTTGTACCAGGAATAACACTTCCTAAAAATACAAAATCTTGAACTTTTTCAACCGTGGAACCCTCTATGCTTACATCCTCGTCTAACTCAGGGGAAATGACTTTGCACTTAGCCGCGTTAACTTTCAGCCCCCATTTTTTGCAAGCAAACTCTAGCTCCTGGGTTGACAACTGTAGTTTCTCAAAGATTGCAGCAATAAGTGTAGTATCATCTGCGTATCTTTCCTCCATTGAAAGCTCATCATGTAGTTGGAAGGTCTTATCCAGGCTCTTAAGCTCATCCATTACGAATTCCAGGAATATGTTAAAAAGCACTGGGGACATGAGGCATCCCTGTCTGACACCTACACAGACTTCAAACCATTTTGTGATCTGATTGTTAACAGTTATTGCACATTGGGTGTTCTTGTACATCTCTTCCACTATGTTGACTATCTTCGCGTCCACACCTATTGCTCTCATCATCTTCCACAACGCTTTTCTCCAGACAGTGTCAAACGCGGATTTAAAGTCGATGAAGTGGAAGTGCAGGTTAACCTGTCTTTCTCTTGCCTTTTCTAAGATTTGTCTTACCACAAATATGGCGTCTACGTTCCCCTGCCACTTCTGAACCAAACTGTGATTCTTTAAAGTTGGGCTTCTGTTTTTGGCTTGCATCCTGTGTAACAGGATTCTAAGGAAAACCTTTCCAGGAATAGATAGAAGAGCAATGGCACGGTAATTTGCTGGATCCATCTTACTGCCTTTTTTGTGCACTGGCATCACTAGCATTTTGGACCATTCTAGTGGTGGTTGCTCCTCGTTCCAAACCTTAGAGAATATCAGGTGCAACATGTCAATCATTTTCTCCCCACCTGCTTTTAGAACTTCCGCTGTTATTGCGTCATCTCCAGGAGCTTTTCTGTTTTTCATCTTTTTTATAGATGATATTATAAATGAATACAGAAATATAAATCAGTTGTAATTTACCACAGTGGGACAAATGCTAGTCTACAGTGAGTAGCTGAACCAGAAAAGGCCCTAATGGCAATATTATATCTGCTGATTCTTGATTTTAGTGACACTTTTTACTGTGTGTACTTTGCAGGGGGAATGTCGTGTGTTCAGATATACAACTATGCGTTGAGCCAGCAAGAGGTCCAGGACGCTCAGAATGCATGCACAGAAAGCGGTAAGGAAGTGCAGTATGCTTTAATTGTATACTCCTACTCCTATACTTGTATAATTCACACATGTTGATTATGTTTACCGAAGGAAAACATATTGTTTTTACTCAGTTTCTTCCTCTACTGTTCCAAACACTAACCCCTGACCTGGCCAATGACATGATTTGTTGACGTCTGTCACCATGGTGACTGGTGTTCGGTTACATGATGATGCAATTTCATGGTCTGCTCTACTCCAATCACTCGTAGTACATGTATGTGAATATGTTTGAGTATAAATTAACAGGGCAGACCATGTCTGAAGGTATACATTATGCATTTGCTTGGCAAATTCTACTTCTCTAGTTGTTTTCTTTTTCCATAGGTATCGACGAATGCGCCCCCAATCCTTGCCAGAACGGCGGAACCTGCATCAACGGGTTGAACTCCTACCACTGCCACTGCACTGTAGGGTACGGAGGAGAACTGTGCCTGACAGGTATGTTTATCTTTACCGAAGGAAAACATATTGTTTTTGCTCAGTTTTCTCTTCCTCTTCTCTACACTAACCAATGACCTGATTTGTTTACCATGGTACCTGGTGTTGGGGTACATAATGTTGCAATTTCATAGTATATATGAGAAAATATACATGGGAAGGTAAACATTATGCATTTGCTTTGAAAATGTTACTTTTGTAGTTACATCCAGAGCGTAGCTGTAGTCAGCATTTAAGAGTCATCCATGTGTGCGTAAGTGCAGCAATTTGAAATGGCCAGTTTAGCTGTCTAGTATGGCAACTCTGTGCGTACCTCTTTCATAGCCGTTTCATAGCCTTTCTAAAAAATAAATTTTAGGTAGTGAGTATGGGAGCCCCGGTATACAAGTAGGATGGCACCAAGGTTACGTCTTTTACATACGAACATAACAAAATTAAAAAAGAAAACAAAAGAAATGTAAGAACAGAAAATACAATGAAATATTGCGACTTTATCATGAAATCTGCGTGGTCATGAACGTTGAACAAATGACTAAACACAAAGAGTATGGTATGGCGAATGATAGACTCTTCAGATTCATTTCTTTACATTTTCTTCTTTCATTTGAAATTGCTTTTGGCATTCTTCTACATTAGTATCTTTTTCCAATGTTTTTTTTTTTTCAATTTACGTCACAAATTTGCTCATTTTGCAGCTGCTTTGTACGATTAATAGTATGATCGAAAACTGTTTTTTTTTGGAAACGGTTGGAAATTTATGCGCGCGCAGATGTCATTCATATAATCAAACCAACATGGCCTAATTCCGTTTGTGACAGGTGCATGTTATACATGTTGTTTGTAAATAATGTTGCAATGTTGATGTAGTGTATTTGTACTATTGTTAAGTACTTTTACCCCAGGAAGATTAGCTTTATACTTGATTTTGTTCCACTGTCTTGTATGTCGTTAATGGATGTTTAATAAAGCACAAAAAGCACGTCATGTACCTTCTGGTATTCTTTTCAGACCTGGACCTGTGTGCCCAGGTCGCCTGTCCGTTCAACTGGCAGTGTCAGGACGAAGGCAACCACTTCATCTGCCTCGGTATGAATTTTATAACTTACCAGGCTTACATAAAGTATAAAACTCTAAATAAAGTAAAATGTTTAACTTTATTCCAACAGAAGGGTTACAGAGAGATCAAATTTTTAGCGACCACTGTCGCCTTCATCAGGATAATTAATGACCAATCACTTTCGAACGTAATCTCGCGAGAGTTACGATTACAGACACGTGACGTTTTTCACTTCATTGAAAATTTGATCTCTGTGTAATCCTTGTGTTGGAATAAAGGACAACATTTTACTATGATTGCATTTAGTGTGTTCCCTAAAACTACGTAATTCAGCCTTTTGTACAATACATTGTATTATTAGGCTGCAATGTTGTTTTAGTTTTATGTCAATTTGCAAATACACCAATTATATATGATTACTACCAACACAGATAAACTTTCGTTATAAAACTCCAAATAACTTTCCAGGTCCTTTATCGTCGTTCCTAAATAATGTCATTTTCTCTCCAGTAATGGCGATAGAGTTACATCATTGACGCTAAAACTTAAAGCAAAGTAGAATACGCCAAAAAGCTGGATATGATTTTGGAAACGATCATACGTTTCCAAACGTCTGACGTTTCCAAAATCATATCCAGTTGCTTGAGTAACATCTTTCTGGCGTATATTATTACCTGGATGTCTAACCTTCGTGAACGTAGCAAAATAATTCGTATTTTAAACATAAGAAGATTATGTGCCAACTGAGGTACGTTTTTTATTACAGTGCCAATTCCAAAAAAGTAGTACATTGAATTACAAGCCTTTATATATACTTCCAAGGTTATTGATAGAGCGTATATCTTTGAGATCTGTACGATAACAAAGTATATACTATTAGTAAACATTGTTTTACAGCCAAAAACACCAGGCTGGCAGAGCCCTACTCGTGCAGCAGCGCCTCCTGTCCGGACGGCATGTACTGCAGGGAGGAGGGGCCGACATCTTTCTCGTGCAGAGCCGGGTGACGTCATGACGAGTCTAACCTGCAACAAGACGGACCGGAAACGGAACACGGACATAACACGCTGACAAAAACACAAATTCAGCTTAAACAAAGCAAGTCTTCTTTTGATAGTAATACTCAACCTTTTGCTTGAAATGCGCATATTAGTGGCTTTAGATGAGACAGCATCTATGTCTTGTAACAAAGAGTGTGTGTTTACGTGTTACTCTGCTTTCCAGCATGCTTTTTGGATTGAGATTCCAACGAAAAGTACAGATATTAAACAATGATATGATCCAGAGGTATAACATGCAGTCATAATGACGTGCTTTTTAGAATAACGTGATGTAATTTATCACGACTTCTCAACCACTAATAGAAGAACGAATCTTTAAAACTCTATATAAGAAAAGGGGCTTCTCTTCTTGGCAGTCTGATTTCTTATCTTAACACTTTACTTGCAAAGGCAGACTCAAATAAACGAATAAAATCAATATAATAACTTGTCTTTACCATTTTGTCGTCACAACTTTCTGGCCTTTTTATCTAGAGGTAAACTATTTGTCAGTGCTCAACATAGGTAGTAAACACTATTTCATAGTTGCAGGTGATATTTAAGATACTGTGTGTTTTAGAATAAGATTAACAAGTGACAACGAGCAGGGTTCGAAGGTCGCCTGAGGTTAATGATTGTCCGCTGGGTCACTATACAGGTCACACGTACTATTTCCGCTGGGTCACTGTACAGGTCACACGTACTATTTCCGCTGGGTCACTGTACAGGTCACACGAACTATTTCCGCTGGGTCACTATACAGGTCACACGAACTATTTCCGCTGGGTCACTGTACAGGTCACACGAACTATTTCCGCTGGGTCACACGAACTCTTCCAACCTTTTTACACGAACCATGCCGAGGCTTTGTGTACCTGACCCGGCCGCCCGGGAGTTCGTCGTATGGTGTTAAGAAAAGTAGAGTTTATGCGAAAACAAGTTGAGACCAGAAAATTTCATCAGACCAGGAAATTTCAACTAACGCCAGGCTAGTATAGGGGACAATACCTAATAAATATGTTCTTCTTGTTATTATTACATCTAATGTCTTAAAATCTCAAACTCCTATTGGCCTCCCATAGCAGCATTCATAGTCTATTTTTTTTTATTAGTTGAGTTAATTCTGCAATGTCTATGGCGGCCAAAACCTCGAGTAAGCCGTCGGCTGAACACCTCCGTTACGTTTCGAGAATACAGAAAGGTTTTGACTTGGCTAAACATTCCTCCTTACCTGGCGTGCCTGGGGCTAAAGTCCGTAGCCCGGGGTTTTGTAATATATAATGACAAAGTTTGGACACTGTTTACAGACAAGCCGGTGTTGGCAAGGATGTTCACACACCTGCGGGCTCACACCTGCGGCCAACGACAGTCACAGTCCTACATATGTTAGCGTTCAAAGTACTCTCCAAGCAGAGGTTGGAGGGATAGATCGTTACCTTTCTTTATATGCCCCGTTTTCCCCCCACCAACGAAGGGACAAAAAACGTGGAATAAAATTATAAAGGTAATTATCTTCCCCAACCGACCTCTGCTTGGAGAATGGTCCAGAGGTCATGCCCTGATCTTGTACCCCGCAGAACACGTTCCACACAATGTTAACGAGTCACAAAATGTTTTTAGAGGTTGAGTGATTGAAAAACACATTATAATCCTTTTACATGACATTCCTGGATAATCTGCGCAAAGACACCAACTTACAGGACACCAGGGAGATAAAGAAGGCCATGGAGGACAAAGTGCTTTGGAGACAACTCTCAGGATTGGTTCGAGCGGGAGCTCGAACTAAGTAAGTAAGTTGATGGTTATGATATGATATTTTAAGGCTTCTGTGCTATTAGTATGGACTTAACTACGTCGGCAAAACACTTTCTTCTCAACAGTCATGTTCAATGAGCATCTGTTATGTCTCGCACCGAAGATTCTGGTGGTAAAGTTTGTACTGGTTGTGACACGTAATATTTGGCTTCGTCTCTTTTTATGGTCGGATTTGCATCAGCAAAACAGCCCACTCTCAGCAAACATTCCCATTACACAGCTTACCACCTTAACAGGTTGGCAAAGCGACCGAATCCTTAAATTGTGATGTTTGTAGAGTTTGCGGCAGCTGCCCGTGTTGTCAAGGATGTGTTACTGCGGCTCGCACCAAACAGCCGATTGTTGGCTAGGGTCAGGTAGGTGACTGATTCTCTGGGATCAGCGTCGATTCTTGTCGCTAACAACAGCGTATAAACAGCCGCACACCAGACAGTTTCCACAAAAGTTTACGAGCTAGTCTCAGCTCAGCGTCTAAGACGGTAAAGATGTGGACGTTCGTGTTCTTGGTCTTGGCTGTGGTCGCCAGCCCGGTCCAGTCACAAGGTAGGGTTACAACTTGATTTATGTAACTAAAACAATAGAATTATGATCTACGATAGTTGCTACATTAATTCCAATGTAATTGGTGTACTGTGTGTACTGCAGTAGGCTAAGGTTCCTTTTTTTTTCTACGGAAAGTCTTATTCTGTGTGGAAGTAGGGTCCCAGCATTATAGTTGTCATTTGAACATTTCGGAAATTAATGCAAATTAAGGCATCATTTGCATAATAAAATGCTACAATCGCCATTTTTTAAATATTTTTTTTTAACTGGGGACACCTTGCGTTTTTTTTTGTCAAAGATCATCAACAATGATCAACGATGATCTTTTATAAAGATCAAATAGCTAAGAGTGATCATAATTACTAACTGAGAAACCAAACATAATGACTATTTGCAGGGAATTGCTGTGGAAACATCCTGCGGCTAGAGACAGAGCAGGTTGACCAGTCCACCGGGTACAGGGTTCCCGACGGCTGGACCATGTGCTACATCGACCAGCGCGATACTGCCTACCACAACACCCGGTGTCGGGATCTGCTCCAGGGAATTCCCCAGTACGGAGACGCCCAACATCTGCTCGCAGCAGGGGGAAACTTCGGATGCTGGCACGGCGACACCGGCGCTTCTCCCGGACCGGCATACGCATCGAATAACGTCATTCAGAACAGCTGCCGAGACAACATCCAGCAGACCAACCTTCTGTCGTCATGGAGTCCGAGCACAACAACGTTTGGTGTCTGTATCAAGGGCATCACATGCGGTGAGTACTGCGACACTACTACGAAACATATGCATGATACCTGTGTTGTTACTGTTCAAAACCCTGGCTTATACACGACATGCTGCACATGGTAAAACCTTCCCTAAAAAGGTTACGTTTTTGTAACTTTTGTTTATAGATGTGCACTTTATGCAAATAAGCACCGTATTTGGAAAAAAATGCTATACGTCAGTCCTAAAGGATAGCATCTATTGGCGAAGGTGTGAGGACGTGTTGTTTGTTTTTCTAAATGCTACGTTTGCTTCAAAGAGGAACATCTTTACGAGCTTCGCTGCCAGTTTCTGATTGGCTAGCCGTTCTTACCGTGGAGTTACTGGCATTTAATAGGATAAACTGACTTCACCTGTCAGTGTGTGCCTGGGTATACTGGAACTCTCTGTGAAACTGGTATGAGTCCATTTCTTGAAAAAAAAAAGGAAAACAGAATTCACAGCAAAATAACTACAATGAGACATTGATTTTCTCTATGCCATATGCATTCCGCCTTTGTATGTAAAGAAGGAAAAAGTTTGTTTTTTTATAATTCATGATATTGGACAGAATTCTGTGGTATAAATCGCCTTTTTGAACATTGTGGGATTTCAGATATCGATGACTGTATCAGCGCCCCCTGTCAGAATAACGCTACATGTCAGGACGGGTTGAACAGCTTTACCTGTCAGTGTGTGCCTGGATATACCGGAACTCTCTGTGAAACAGGTTGGAGTCCATTTCTTGAATAAAAAGCATGCAAAACAGAATTCACAGTAAAATATAACTACAATGAAAATATGTACATTAATTTTGTCTATGCCACATGCATTCCGCCTTTGTATGTAAAGAAGGAATTTTTTTTTTTATAATTCACGATATAGTTCCAAATCAGGACAGAATTTTGTGATATAAGTCGCATTTTGAACATTGTGTGGGGTTTCAGATATCGATGAGTGCAGCAGCGCCCCCTGTCAGAATGACGCTACATGTCAGGACGGGTTGAACAGCTTCACCTGTCAGTGTGTGCCTGGATATACCGGAACTCTCTGTGAAACAGGTTGGAGTCCATTTCTTGAATAAAAGGCAAAGCAGAATTCACAGTAAAATATAACTACAATGAAAATATGTACATTAATTTTCTCTATGCCACATGCATTCCGCCTTTGCATGTAAAGAAGGAAAAAGTTTTTTTTTATATAATTCACGATATAGTTCTAAATCAGGACATAATTTTGTGGTATAAATCGCCTTTTGAAGATTGTGTGGGGTTTCAGATATCGATGAGTGCAGCAGCGCCCCCTGTCAGAATGACGCTACATGTCAGGACGGAGTGAACAGTTTCACCTGTCAGTGTGTGCCCGGGTATGCCGGAACTCTCTGTGAAACAGGTAGGTTTGAAATTTATAATTATATAAATCATAAATGATTATTATAAGCTGTGACTGTCATGTTAATTTGTGCAAATTTTTACATACAGTACAGATGCACGAAAATGAATCCTGCATTAAAATCATTCGTCATTATATCCCAATTTTTTTGCATAGCATTCAGAATTCTAACACCTAAGAAACGCTTGACGACAATATTCCACAGATATTGACGAGTGTGCGAGTAGTCCGTGTTTAGGAGGCGGAACTTGTGTGGATCACGTGAACGGCTACAGCTGTGTCTGTCCTAAAGGTCATGTGGGAGACAAGTGTGAAATGGGTGGGTTTAATATTCAGAAACAAACATGTGTACGCGTATACGATATATTGTTTTTAAAATGATCTAGCATGTCTTGTAATAGAGAAACATTCTGGCATTGCTTCTGGGACTGGTATCTGTCTTTCCCATACGTTGATGATGTCTCCAGACAAATGTGAAACGGGTAGGTTTAATCCAGAAACAGATGGTATGATTCGTACACCACATTTTTAAAGATGATAGTCATGCATAGTGAAATAGAGTAGACGTGCTGCTGAGGCAGATAGAAAACATTTAATGTCTTTCATCTGAAACATCATGAGCTTTATAGACAGGCAATTGGGAAGATATTAATAGTAAAGAATCATTGCATTTCCAGCTTGATCGCCCGTGGTTGTAAAATAATAACAATAGTTTTCCAAGATTGCAGAACTAGTGTCGGTGACCTGCCCAAAAATGTGTATGGAACTAAATTTATCGTAATGATAAGGAATATATTCAAGACGATGATGATTTGAAACGCCTTCCCAGTCCCTTACGCTGAGGGATGCCTGCTGTTCTCCTCCGATGCCGTGTCCTATCCCGAAGCGAGCCAGGAGTGCCAGACCAGGGGAGGGCACCTGGTGGATGTGAAGGAGGCCGAGCTGCAGCGGCTCATCGCTAATACCATCCCTACCGGAAGTGACGTGTCCCCGTGGACTGGACTAAAGCTCTCTCCCGGAGTGATGACCTACACAGACGGATCCGGCGTATCAGGTAACCCAACCCCTTCAAATTTCATCGGATCAAATATATACATGTACATGTACTATCCTTGTTGTTTTTGCCTGTATGTCGCATAAGTTTGAATACCAGAGAGTGACTTTGTTCTCCATGCATTTTAGTGATCCAAATACCATTTTGCAATCCAAATCACCTGCCAGGATTTTGCACTGTGTGTGTGTGGTTGGGGGGAGGGGGGGGAGGGGGTATGATGCGAGTACCAACGGCGCAAGTTTTGTAGGGGGCATGGCCCTAAGAACCTTCAGGAAGCATTTCCTGCGTTTTTGAGAGGATTTTAAGGTGGTATGGAAGGGTGGCTGAGGACTTTGGGGACATCCTAAAAATACTACTTAGGATTACCTATGGTCATTGATTTTTTTTGTGTGAGTACCTTAGTGCAAGATGATAATTTATGCAAATTTTGATGACGTAATCATGACGTCATCTCGAGTTATGAGCCACGCCCCCTTTTTAGAAAAATCAATTTTTCTGGCCAGCGCTTTGGTTTTTATTCACCATATTTTGTTGAAAGGCACACACTAGTAATAGGAACAAACGTATGCGAGCATTTTTTAATATCTCAAAGTGTTGATTTTTTATGAATTTTTTTTCGTAAATGTCAACAGTGCCATGCGCCAGCACCCCTCCCCAACATATAAAGCGGCGCAGTGTGTCGGCCTCGCATACGATTTTAGTTTATAAGTTTATCTTTCAAAAAATACCACCTTTTTGTCTCTTTCCATGAACATTTTTTCCACAGTTTCATTCTTAAAATGCTGTATATGTCGTAGGGGTTACATAATGTCCATTTTGAAGCCCGAAAGAGCCGAAATCGCCAATTTTTTGTCGCCATTCCAAGGGTGCTCATCCCTCCCACCGAAAAATGGGTCATTGGCCTGTCAGCACGCTGTATTTAGGTTACTGCGGCGCTATTTGGAAAAACAGGCCGGGGATATGTCCAGTAAAAAGAACAGCCAAAAAGAACGCTAAGATTTCGCGCGAGTAGGGGTCACGTGACTCACCCAAAATGGCGGATGGCGTGGCTTGTTTGCGAGCGGAGAAAGCTGTGCGCTTTGCGCCAGCATTTGGGCCGGTAGACGATCTTTTTCACGGCCGTATCCTACGTAGATTTGCAGATGAAGGTTTATGGACTATTCTGAGACCTTATTGGAGAAAATCTGCCGGGGTATTCTGGAGTTACGGACTTGTTTTTTAGGCCTACCCCCAGAGGAGATTGACGATCAGCAAGATCACAACACTGAAAAGTTATCGCGCGATACCGGAGTAGATAGCCCTGGAAAAAAAGCTTGCCCGGACGTGGTATGGGATTATGAGCGAGTATAATTTTGTTGATTATGTGAATTTACGTTGCACGTTGTCCTAGACTTGTGGAAATAATTTTCACGCACGACGTTCTATGTTCTATCTGAAAAGTACGGACTATCTCTGTAAATCTGTTGGAACTGATTTTTTTGTAAGCGGCTACTATTTGCTGTATGCTGTAAATCGTAAAAGATTATTGTTAGCAGTTACCGTAAGATTATGTAAAAATTCTGCTGAAGTTTGTAAGTATCGTATTTTTTAATAAAAACGTAGATTTTATAAAAATTATTAGTAGTTCTTATCATGTCTGTTCACTAGAACGTAACGTTAACGTTTAGTAGTTACAAACGTGTTGCAGTCGATACAAACTCAGAATAAATTATAAGACAGTGCACAGGTAGGGACACGTTTTTATTCGGTAGAAAATTACTTAATGAGTTGTCTGTGAAAATCATGAAAGAACACAAAGGATAACGCCGCATAATGACGGCCGAGTATGAACTAGCAAGCGCCGCTCTTTATGCATGCAGTGACCCGGTCCGCCAGGCCGCTCATAACTAAACCAAGATCTAACTTGTGGCTCAAAGCAGACAGCTTCGTTTCTTTTGGCAGTCGAATGTTTTTATATAGGAAGTTGTCAGATTATTTCTGGCGTTTTTGGTGATTTGTGTGGCTGCATATCTCTGGTTGTGTGTTGCAACTTGACAACATTTTGCCGATACGAAGTGTGATAAACAATGGAAACGGCTTGTGTTTTCAGAAAATTATTATTCTTTGCATTTGGCAGGTTTTTACCCAAAACGTTTTGCAAACAACTGACATCAAACGCTCAGTAAAACTCTCTTTTCCAGTGTCTTTTCCCTTCCCAAAAATTATGAAAGTGAAGCTCTCAGTTTACGTAATGACCAGCGAGCCTGATTGGTCGAGCGGCGGAGTAGCTTTTAAAAATAATGTGCACACCCCCACTGGGGCCTGGCTGGAGCGTGAAAAAAATGCACAATTTGGCGGTCAATTTGGCGGCCAAAATGTGGCCATAGTGACAAGACGAAAGAAAATTATAAAAATAGACCCAAAAGACTACCATATCAGATAGAGTTCGTAGTATTTCTAAATATGCCTCAGCTATCCTTCTGGACCACCTTAAAGGAAACTAGAAAGGCCGACATTTGCTTGGGAGCAAATACAGCATATTTCAGTCCAATATTGAATGTGTGGGTCATTGCGCACGACCTACGTGAAACGTGACCCCAGGTAACCCGCAATTGAGCACTAGTTCCAACGGCAAATGGAACGGGCCATTCCTTAGTTGGCATTATCAAGCTACCTACATCAGCATCCAATAGAGTTTGGCTGTTAACATACATGACGTCCTTTATTTTTATTGTTATTTCTACTTCTATCATTATCTATTTTTGGGAAAGACACACACTGCAAAATCTTGTGATGTCAACAGTATCCAATATTTGTCTATATTAGGCCACCTCCAGTGGTCGGCCAATGAGCCCGCCACCTCCTGTGATCTGTGTGCTTACCTGGATAGCACGGACGACTGTCGCGCTCGCACCGCCTCGTGTATGGAACAGCATCACTACGTGTGCCAGTCTGGTACGTTACTTAACTTATCACATCGATGTCTACTAAATGTACCAGATTTGGAATGTGAAACTTATTAATGTTTGACCAGAGACATTTTTTATTAGAGTGCCAATCTTATTTCAACAACGATCTTGTGGGGTCGTGTGGCGCAGCGGCAGCGTTCTCGACTCGGAACCAGAGGCCCCGGGTTCGAGTCCTGACATGCCACCGATCTTGTGCCCTTGGGAAAGGCACTTTACACGACTTTCCTCACTTCGCTCAGGTGTAAATGAGTATTGCACTGCCCCTGTGTTGGTGGCGGCATTAATATAAATTGAAAAAACTTGAGTGTGTCGTCACCATGTCTGGTGATTACATGTTTCGGAATAAATAAAAAAAATGATCTTACACGCATTTCTCTTTATATTTAGACTCAAAGCCCTGCCAGCAGAACATCTGCTTCAACAACGGCTTCTGTTCGACCTGCTTTAACGACTCTTACAGCTACTGTTCCTGTCTGCCTGGATACGAGGGAGACATCTGCAATATGGGTATTGTTTGCCTTGTTTCTTTACAAAACGCATACACTCTAAGACCAATGGAATCTAAACAATTCCTTTAATTTCCATAAAGCAGACTAAAATGATGCAGATACAGCTCTAGTTGCTTTTCGTGTTATTAGCTGTTCAGAAAAAGAAGATATTTATTTCAAGAAGATATTTCCCCATTCTTAGATGTCAATGAATGCGCCTCCAATCCTTGTGCAAATGGCGGAACCTGCATCAATGGTGTGAACTCCTACCACTGCCACTGCACTGTAGGGTACGGAGGGGAGACCTGCCTGACAGGTTTGTAATCCAGTATCTGACTTCCAGCCAGGCAGTTCCTGCATTTATCACGTAAGAGTTGTCTGCCTATGGGAACATACATGTAAATACAGCCCTTTGTAACAACCCGTGCAATTGGCTCGTACGGTATGACTAACGAATAAAATAGAATAGATTGGGATAGAATCTAATATAATATAATCTAATAGAAAAGAGTAGAATATATAGAATAGAATAGAATAGGACAGAATAGAATAGAATAAAATGAAATGAAATAGAACCGACTATAGAATAGAATAGAATAGAATAGAATAGAATATAGAACAGAACAGAAAGAAAACAGATCACTTTATCGTATGTATACATATTTCTGTTGGGGTGACCACCAGTCTTGACTGCCTGTGTGTAATGTACAGACTGTGCACATTGCCATTACATTTGCAATAAATACACACACATAGCTATGATACGTACTGTTTATGACTAGTCCATTTTTTACAGGTTCATTTAATGGACGTTTCCATATAATTGTTTTCAGATCTGGACCTGTGTGCCCAGGTGGAATGTCCGTTCAACTGGCAGTGTCAGGACCACGGAGACCATTTCATCTGCCTGGGTAAGGGTAAATTTGTAAACGATAGTCGCTTTCCAAACATAAATATGCTTAACAAACAAAGAAATGATGGGTATAGACCCTTTCCTGTAATATCTAATTCTATACTTAGCCTTGACAGTAATCCCATCCATATCATACCCGGGCCGCGATAACGTTCGATAACGGGTTCCGGACGGGATTGGAGCACACTTTGTGGTACTGCCCGGGCTTCGGTGGAAAATTCGAACGCGTTTTGCCCTAACCGCGTGCGCCGCTTTCGAAAATTCGTATACCGAATTCGGACGTTGGAATTGATGTTGTTGCATTTTTGAAATTAAGGGACACGAACTTTTCATTCATTTCGCATTTAAAGGCGTGTTGTCTTGGGAGAGTATGACATAAATAAAACACAACTCGGTGTATTCCGCATCACCCTCGGTCCCAGCCCTCCCGCGGATCGGATCTCCCTCCGGCCTTCGGGCGATCCGACCCGCGAGAGGGCTGGTACCTCGGGTGATACGGAATACCCCGTGTTGTATTATATATATATATATATATATATCTTTTTGTAGCTGGAATGACCAGGCTGGCGGAGCCCTACTCGTGCAGCAGCGCCTCCTGTCCGGACGGCATGTACTGCAGGGAGGAGGGGCCGGCATCTTTCTCCTGCAGAGCCGGGTGACGTCATGACGAGCCTAACCTGCAACAAGACGGACCGGAAACGGAACACGGAAAAAACCTGCTTAATACAAAAACTCAAATTGAGCTAAAACAAACACCTAATTCTTCTTCTTCAACCTTTTGCTATACGCATATTAGTGTCTTTAGATAACGCAGCAACTTACCATTCCTTTCATGTGTGACAAAGCGTGCGTGTGTAACATCGCTATCCAACGGTTTAATGCTTTGTAAGTGAGATAGCAACAGCGTTTTTAAATACGAAAAACAGTTTCGATGTAACGACATATGCATATGTAACGTACAAGTCACAGCGAATTAACAACGACATCATCAAACTCTTTTTAGCTTTGGAGGATGCTCTTCACCTGAATACAATAAATTACGCAAAAATTTAAATACAATGAGTTACGCAACAATAATTTTACAATCTTTAATAGTATTTTCTTTGCTCTGAGCTGTTGCTGCAAAGCTTAAGGCCTAGGATTCAATGAAATAAAGAGTTACAAATGAAATAATATGGTAGACAAGTTCCATTTTTTGTGAGAAAAAATTTCCCCCATGAGACATACAATGAGACCGTTAATGTGTTTTCTCCAACCGTTCTACATTAACCAAACGCTGCCTTCTCCAGATCTAAGGATAACTGTGGACTCTGAACTCTCCAAAACACAGTATAGAAGAACTTAATTGCACGACAATTGCACATGGTACAATGTATGGCAAACTACATAAAGAGAGTAACAACAATAAAATAAGTGTGTTGAATAAGACCTAATGTCGAATAAAACCTAACATATCTATATCATAATTTTAAAAAAAATATGGGATAGCAAAAGTATTTGATAAAGTGTTACAATCGAGTGGGCTAATCACAAGTTTCGCTATTGTTTCTAATAGCAAAGCATTCTTTTATATATCTACCTATTTTTGCGTTTTGGGGACCATTACATGTAAAGATATATTCAAATCTGTCTCCAACATCGAGACTCTTGAAATCTATGGTACTTGATTCGAGAAATGTAAATAGCTTGTTACGTATAACATCATATTTGGTACATTCCATAACAAAATGAAATTCATTTTCTACATGTTTTGGACAAAATGGACAGAACCTTTGGTCAGGGGCTATATTGTAATATCTATAACACAGTATATATAGGATCGAAGGTCAGAGCACGCGCGTTAACCACAAGGGCATTATTTTATTCCTGAACGTGCCTATTGTGTTCTATGCTTGAATGGGTTAGGGTCAGGATCAGGCACGGTTCTGGATCCGGATAGTCTCCGCGTATCCGAGAACGTAGATTTGACCCAGGCACGGTTCCGTCTAACAAAAAATCGCGGTCTCGGTTAAAGCCATGTTGATTGCCCAAGCGCAGGCGGGTTTTGACTTAAAAAAAAAAACACTTAAAGTCTACAGTTCGAAGTTGTCTAACAAAAAGACGCGGTTCTCTATAAAATTTGATTTGGTGGTGGGCCGAGTTGACCAGGGCAGTGGGCCGAGTTGACCAAATTTGCGATGGGCCGAGTTGGTAAAGGTCCGGGTCGTCCTGATTCCCTATCAGGCACGGTGCACTTGCCTGAACATGTTTCTGGACAAAGCACGGTCCTGTCACTGTAAGTTTAGAGATACTGTATCATTAGGCAGTCCTTTGTGCATCAGACGTGTCTAAAGTATGTCGTTAGCAACGTCCTCCTGCAAACAAAAAAGGATCTGAATTCATTTGCAGTCCGGGGAAAGGAGCTATTGTAAAATGACTTGGAGACAGGTATGTTAACGGTGTATTGATGAGAACTGGAAGAGAACCTAGTGGTACGCTGAAAGGTTCTGAGCGGCGGAACAAGAAGTGCAAGTTCTCCTGAACATCGACCGTGAAAGTATCTGTAAAAGAGGGATAGGATGTATGGATAGCAAATACATGTTGTTCAGCTCAGGCACCTTTAGTTAGCTTGTTAACGTTAGGCTAATAACACAGGCCGCCTCCGTACTTAGAATGACTCATCTGTTTCCTATGTTAATGTATCTGAATTATAGCTGACATTGTTGATACTTGTCTATTGTCCTGTTATAAGGGCTAGCCCTTTATAATAGCCGTCGACTAATTGGGCAATCCGGGCTGTAAACTTGTTTATACAGTTCAATAAATCAAATCAAATCTCCGAAAAAATCTTTGGGAAGTTGTGGACAAAAACAAAATGATCACAATTGCAATATGTAGTATGTCTTGTGAATCCAGTTTAGTACCAGCCGGTTGTGCTAAGGTACTCTCCAAGCAGAGGCTATGGGGGGATGGTCGTTATATATGGCCGTTTTTTTTGTCGCTACCCCCGTCGGTGGCCGCGGACTTTCTCTGGCTAATGGATACTTTTTTTTAAATTCCAACATGTAATCACCAGACGTGGTGACGACACACTCAAGTTTTTTCAACTTATATTAATGCCGCCACCAACACAGGGGACAAATACATGACAGTACAATACTCATTTACACCTGAGCTAAGTGAGGAAAGCCGTGTAAAGTGCCTTTCCCAAGGGCACAAGATCGGTGGCATGTCAGGACTCGAACCCAGGACTGAAAGTTCCGAGTCGCGCACTCTGCCGCTACGCCACACGACTAATTTGGATACTGCCTGGCCAATTTGATTCTGTCTTTTTGCCACCGAGAGGGATCTGCTTGGAGATTAGTGCTAAGGTACGTTCACCTCAGTGAAACACCTCCGTTTCCACAAACACGGCCATTACCGGGGCCACAGGACGGCGGGAACGTGCGGTAACCGTGAGGTCACTCACCTTGCCCTTCAGCACCTGGTCACGTAGTCTGGCGCCCAGCCTTATTGTGAGGTAACTTATAACGGTCGCATCCTGGGATGTCAAGATAACACCCTAGCTTATTACATGTTGTTATTATATAAAGGTGTTCACCGTTAGTAAGTAGTTACTATATTTATGGTATGTGAATCGTCACTGAAGTACACTCTCTGTACCGGCAGAGTGCGCGACTCGGAACCAAGAGGTCCCGAGTTCGAGTCCTGACATGCCACCGATCTTGTGCCCTTGGGAAAGGCACTTTGCACGACTTTCCTCACTACGCTCTGGTGAAAATGAGTACTGTCCTGTCATGTATTTGTCCCCTGTGTTGGCGGTGGCATTAATATAAGTTGAAAAAAAAAAAAAAACTTGAGTGTGCCGTCACCACGTCTGGTGATTACATGTTGGAATAAAAAAAAAATTAAAAAAAGTCCACTCTCCAAGATCGCCACGATAACGGCCTTAAAGCTAACAGGGCTGGGCTCCAGGCTACTGATGGCGCAAATATCGGCAACTAGCGCAAAGTCTCCACCAGGCTTTGAGGGGCGGCTGGCCAAATACAGAAATAACGTACATTGCATATGTAACGTAGCATTGTCCTCCTAGAAAATGCGCTAATGTGAAAGTATCATATTCTAAGAATATTTTGAATAAAGCCTTTCTCGAGAAAATTAGAAAAATTAATATTATTATTGTTGTATATTGCTCATTTTTACTTGTATAAACTATCATTCTAACACCTACTTTGATTCTAGTCAGTTGCTGAAAATATTGTGGGTAATTTTAACCCAAAGAAGGTTCTTTTACAGTTACGATGACGATTTGGCGTCAATTCAATAGCTTGTTTATTTTAACTATCTATGATCACGTCCACCGCAATGAAACACCTCCGTTTCCACCAACACGGCGCGTTATCGGGTCGGTAGGACGTGTTGGTAACCTTGTATGTAGAGTTCGCGGCAGCTGCCCGTGTTGTCAAGGATGTGTAACTGCGACTCGCACCAAAGAGGGCCTGCAAGGGGGGTAGTGATCACGAATTACGCAAAATTTTCGCCGCCGATTACGAATTACGTTAAAGTCTCAGAGCTGCTTACGACTTAACGATTTGCGGCTAATGTCCAATTACGAATTACGTTGATTTTTGCGGAGGCTGCCTACGAATTACGAAGTCTAAAACGGCCTGATTACGCCTTACGAAAAAGGGCTTGCAGGCCCTCACCAAACAGCGGTTTGTTGGCCAGGGTCAGGTAGCTGATTGGTTCTCTGGGTACAGCGTCCATTCTTGTCGCTAACAACAGCGTATAAACTTTCCACACACACGTTTAGGAGTCTCAGCTCAACGCCACAGACAGTAAAGATGTGGACACTCCTGTTCTTGATCTTGGCTGGGGTCACCTGTCCGGTCCAAGCGCAAGGTAGGGTTACAACTATAGCTTTTACGACATAAATGTTGATGATGATGACGATGCTCTAATGATGATACAGACGATAGCGTAAGACCAGACAAGGTTTTTTTTTTCTTTTTTGTTTTTTGTTTTGGTCGCCACGTAACACGGCCGTAGGCCACTTCGAATTCAAGGTTGGTTAACCACCTGAATGGCATTACCACCTGAATGGTATTACAGGTTTGTTGTACATACAGTTGATTATCTTTTAAAAGTTACCCTATCCCAGAATTCAGAAGTTTGTAGAGGAGCCCCTTTCTTCAAATGGAGTCAAATGCTTTTTAGAAGTCGACAAATCATTAGTAAAGACGTTTGTGTTTGGAGAGGTATTTGCTTACTTATAGCAGGGAGTCCATGGTAAATAAGTTGTACAAAAACAACTTTGGATAAACTGCGAAAAGCGTCATTGAATATAGAGTTTGGTTCACAACATTATCTATTTATTACCTTCGCCAAGAAGGTTATGTTTTCGTAGGCGTTCGTGTGTCTGTGTGTGTGTGTGTGTGTCAGCACGATAACTCAAGAAGGCTACAATGGATTGCCTTGATACTTGGTAGGTAAATAGGTCTTCATAAGATGTGGAACTGATTAAATTTTAGGCCCCCTAGCGGCTTGTTATGGTACTGCAACTGAACTTCCGGTTTTGATATCTCATGATCTAGACATGCTAGGGTGACAAAATTTGAATGGTAGGTAGCTCTTGTGCTGGGGAAGAAATGATATGAGTTTGGGCCCCCTAGCGGCTTGCTCTGAAACTGCAGGGCTATCTGTTTGAAAATATTCAAAACAGGATAACTCAAGAACCGGTTGATGGATCGTCGTGATTTTTGATATGTAGGTAGCTTTCATGATGCTTGATATAATTATGTCACAATTATGCAAATATGGATGTAATTTGCATAATTTATGGAGAAATTATATAAATCAGCTGCATTCCATGATAGGGCTATTGAAGCTTGTGACATTGGTAATTGAGAACGAGAGAAACACAGGAAGATATTAATCATGTAAATGAGGACTTAATTTGCATAATTAATGAGAAAATGTTATAATTATGTAATGATAACTACCTGGAATTTCATACTGGTGGTATTTGAAAGTTCAGTGAAAAGTGAACATCATTAAACATAATGTATTCAAATCAGGACCTCATTTGCATAATTAATGAGGAAATGCTAGAATGGCATTGTTTGTTAATATATCTGTCTTTTGGTTGAGAATATGATAAATTGATATAATTCATGAAAATGAGGGAATAATCTACAAATTGTCAGTCATAAAGATTAACATCATTTGGCGAAGGTATGATGTCGGCGAAATCTAGTTTAACAATTAGATTTAGTGTATTTACTGATTACCACATATGTGTACTTTGAAACAAGCATAATTAACATCCGCTTATGAAGTGGCTTTGAATGAGTACGGCCAAAAAAAAGTAAAAGAAAAGTTTTAAAACTAGATTTCCACGATCTCATTCCTCCGCAAAGCGATGTTTGTGGATATCTATTTTTAAAACGTAGCTTATTTGTTTTCTTTATTTTAGCAATAATTGTTTCAATCAAAGCCACTTGATATGATATTATAATTATGAATTATAGGATGACTATTTTTGAACTTAACCTTGGCTTCTATAACCGCTGCTCCCCTACTAAATATGATTAAAACCAAAGTATCATGAAAGTTCATCTCTGTTGGTAGTAATCACATCTCTCTGGACAAAGTTAGAATACTGGACACTGAACAGGACTACTTTCTAAGAGGCATTAAGGAGGCTATATATATCAGAGCACTTCAGCCTTCACTTAATAGAGATGGTGGACGATATAAACTCCCTGGCACTTTTGATCAATTGCTTACGTCACGTATCAGTAACGTCTCGTGTGAATAAGGTCACGTGTTTGTAAACCGTAACTCTCGCGAGATCACGTTGTGAAGTGAATGGTCATTAATTATCCTGATGAAGGCGACAGTGGTCGCTGAAAATTTGATCCCTGTAAATTGTGTGTTGGAATAAAGTTCAACGTTTTACTATCATTAAAACCAATTCAAAGATTTTAGACTTATAACGCAAAGATGCAATGGAAAAATTCACAAAAACTCCGCTGCAGTACGATTGAAAAAAGGCAGGTGGGCCATTTTTGACCTTAAAGTACATTTCCATAGCAGCTACTCACATACCAGAAATAAAAAAAAGAATCCATCTACAAATACTCGAGTTATGACGTTAATACTGAGACACACCACAGCTTCTCCAAGGCCTTCAAACCGAAAACATATAGCTTATGAAACTTAAACTGTTCTCCAACTCAAAATTTGACTCACCAGAAATTTTCGACTGAATCACCCAGTCTTCCTCAGCTATCTGACCGAAATGCTGTGAACACGTGATTTTTCCAACGTTTGACGTCAGCAAAGGGTCAAAGGTTGTCTGAAGTCGATATCGCCCCCGTCCCGGTTGAGCGATGGTGAACTCAGATGAACTTTCATGCAAAAACATAGCTTACTTGGCGTAACCAATCATTGAGAAGACCATGGGGACTTGTATTGCCTACATGCAACTGCCGGAGCTATCGTTTCTTTAATCGTGCTATTTCTTTTCTTCAGGCGGAACGTACTTGACTACGTATTTAGGCTACGACTACTTCAAAGTGCCCGTCTTTGGGCAGATGTCAAGCGCAAACGTCAAGGCAGCCTGTGACGCCGCTGGTTACGTCACACCGTGTCCCGGGGACGGGAACTGCTATCATTCGTCATACGACTGTGTCCAGACCGGGCTTACTGCATGCACCTTTTCAATGAACGAAGTATCCCAAGTTCTGTGCGGTAGCGATCCCCGGTATTGCCCTGCGATGGACGGAGTGTACAGCATTTATAACGACAACTGGGCTTCTGGCTCTGCCTGTGGTGTGGAGGGTGGCAGATGGTGCACGATCGGGAATGACTACTACGACCGCTTCGCCTTCTGCGCCCGAGGTGAGTTCTTCATTTTTACAAATTTATTTATTTATTTATTTATCTTACCAACATATGGGTAGTCTCTTCAGCCCCGGGGGGCTGATTTCCAAGGGAGCCCATAATAAATAAACAAGAATATAATGCAAACAAGAATACACAAAAGATAATATAACATAAATTAAATTAACATAAATTAAGCACAACAGTCGGTCAGTGGTCTTTGGAGGGCCAGAGGTCAAAATTCCGAGTAACTTAGGAAATGGTACAACATAGTAGTAATAATTGAAAATAAGAATGATGATCATATAAACAAATCATATAAATCAATAAACATAGTTAAATCAAGGTTGTCGAGATCGTCATTAGGTAGTCAGGTGTCAGATGGGTTCAGATCTTAGTCTGTCTTTAAAGGCTTTAAGTGTGAGTGCTTGTTTTAGGTTACAAAAGAGCATGAAGGTTAGCGGAGTAATATAAAGCCAGGTATACAATATATAATCATGGGAAAAATAATGGTCGTTGCGGTACCACAAATACTCTGTCAACCACCCTCTTTTTCCTACTGATTATTATTACATTTACAAGAACAGATGTCAAACAGTACAGGTTTACACTACATACAGAGAAATTCTTAAACAACATTCCAAATGTTCCGGATGTTAATCACTTATTATCCTGTAACAACAAACATTGATTTGGGTGCAAAGCTACTAAGCTGTCCACCCAACAACAACAACAACAACAACAAAAACTCTTTTGATTGTGTACGAAGAACTGTTGTTTAACTCATAACGTATATATCTATAATCAACCTACTATTTCAGATGTACACGTGTGCAGCAGCGCCCCCTGTCATAATGGAGCTACATGTCAGGACGGAGCGAACAGCCTTACCTGTCGGTGCGCACCTGGGTATACTGGACTTCACTGTGAAACAAGTAAGCATTCAGCTTTAATAGTACTCAAACCTTATGGAACTATTTTGAATTGCTTGAATTCTGTGAACAAGGAAATAACTTTTCTATCGCCACAAACACTTACGTCATGGTATTCTGAAGTAGAATTCTGCTAAACGAACTCTTTCAGATATTGATGATTGCAGCAGCGCCTCCTGTCAAAATGGAGCTACCTGTCAGGACGGAGTGAACAGCTTCACCTGTCAGTGTGCGCCTGGGTTTACTGGAACTCTGTGTGAAACGGGTAGGGTCCAAAACATCCATCATATAAATTCCAAAATAACATTATTAACTGCGGCTTTCACGCATATCGTGCCAGCATGCTAATTTGTACATAAAATGTAAGATAGTGATAAGCAACCATGGAAACTGTCATTGAGGCGGATAGAAAAAAATTTGTAAACATGCAGCTCTTTAACCCTACCTAGACCGGGGGGGGGGGGCTAAAAGTGCCCGCGGCAACTTTGATGTCACCTAGCGTCTGAACGGCTAGCCGTAGAACGGACAAACTTTATGACTTTTCCTAGAATATTGTTGGCAACAATTCTCTATCATTGGAATAAGATAATAATTGTTTGTGTTGCCATGGCAACGGGTTTCTGACAGGCATTTTTTGCTAAATTTAGTACTTTTGGTTTCAACAATAGAATTTTATGGGTTTTATGTCAAGTTACTCATGGTTTCTAATGTTAATAACATCCCATATAATTTTATGTAAATTTTATCATTAAATATGCATAATTAATGCTAATTTCATGACGTCATTGGCCAAAATCCAAGATGGCGGACCATATCATTAGAACAGGTATATACAGGTTATTTTCATTAAAATTTCATCAATACTTCCATTTCTTTTTCCAAAAAAGGTTTAGATGAAGGTCTTTAGTATGTTTACGATGTATTTTAGGGTTTATCATGAAAAAAAACTATTTTTGAAAATTCAAGATTGATGATCCAAGATGGCGGATATCTTAAATATGCATGACGTCATTTTATGACGTCACCGGTGTTGCTATGGGCAACATAAGACTTAGTACATCATAATATTCTGTCGTAAACACTTTCGGTACAGTTATGTTGAATACCATTTAGTTTTCAGGGAAAAACCTATTTAGACGGTTTTGGCCAATAAAATCACATTAATGACGTCATAATGACGTCATATTACGTCATAACGACATAAAAATTGTAGATATGATAAATTTTCACTAGTACACCATTCTCTGAAAATTTGGTGGTCATACGACATACCGTTCGCGAGTTCTTAGGGGGGGGT